ACAAAAATGTGAAAACAGAATTTAGTACATATTCCAACATTGAAAACCATGTTCTAAAATTTGACCCCCGAGAATCAGTCACTCCACCCAACACTGACATTTAGAAGACTGCACCAAGAAAAATCTGGCTTGCATCTGCCTATTCATTTAAGATTTCCTTATAGAAATACCCTGAAATTGAATGACACTTCCATTCTGAACTGGTTCAATGCTTCTGTAATGTACCTTTCTTTTTACGTCATAGGTGTAACTTGGTTCATTTGGGATGCAAATTAAATTATTGGAAAAGGATTTGTTTGGATATGCATTTCTAATTTACTCATGCTCACTGCTGCAGCAATGGCAGGTTTTATAAATATAACCTTATTGTAGCATCGCCTTCCACTTCTGGTTGGAAAAATTTCCTCACAGGTAAAAAATGTCTCCGCTTACTTGGTTTCTCAAACTTGGCACGTTTACAGTTGTTGGGAGTTGGCGATGCAGTACAGTAGAACAAGGCTCCTGTGCGATTTGCCAGTTGACCTGGCATACCTTCTGCCTGTGGAGCTCCAACTAGCAATCTGGAGCAGAAAGAAAAAGATGAAAAATGTAGAGATTAGCACTTGACTACGGCAGAAGAAAACACCAAGATGACAATGCCAAAAGACAAGACCTATGCTTAAAGTTTTGGCAAAGATCTGTAGCTCGGGTTGTGGATGAGGTTGTTGACTTGCTCGCCGAGCTGGCTTTTGTTTGTTCAGACATTTTGTCACCATGCTAGGTGACATCATCAGTGGAGCCTCCGATGAAGCGATGTTATTCTACTCTGCTTGGAATTTATACTGTCCGGTCCATTATGGTGAGTACTGTCATTTCCGGTTTTGATCTGTACGGGTTTGTATATGGGGTCCAATTCTATATGTTTGTTGATTGAAGTATGGGTGGAGAGCCATGCCTCTAGGAATCCCCGTGAAAGTCTATGTTTGGCTTGGGCTACTATGGTTACTTTGTCCCAGTTAAATTGATGGTCTTCATTGTCTGACTATACCGATATTAAGGGGAGTTTGTCGTGTGGTTTTGCTGTTAGTTGGTGTTCATCAGACAGACAGGAAGGAAACTAGTCATTAGAATACATGAACATCAACTAACAGCAAAACGGCACGACAAACTCTCTTTAATATCGGTATGTTCAGACAATGAAGGCCAACAATTTAACTGGTACAAGGTAACCACAGTAGCCCAAGCTAAACATAGACATGCACAGGAATTCCTAGAGGCATGATTCTCCACCCATACTTCAATCAACAAACATATAGAATTGGACCCCATATACAAACCCGTACAGATCAAAACCGGAAATGACAGTACTCACCATAATGGACCGGACAGTATAAATTCCAAGCAGAGTAGAATAACATCGCTTCATCGGAGGCTCCACTGATGATGTCACCTAGCATGGTGACAAAATGTCTGAACAAACAAAAGCCAGCTCGGCAAGCAAGTCAATAACCACAAGACCTGTGCATCCAGTTTAAAACTGCACAACATGAGTGCTGCCTACAATTCTATGTTTGAAACTAGATCTGAAATTGACAAAAATATAATGAAAGATCCAAAATGTTTTTTTACTGGCAAAAAGGTTCTGAAATGCAAGCAGAGTTATAATGTAGGAAATATTATGCACATCAAAATCCCACAAACAAAAATTACATAAATAACCTTTCTTTCCAACATGTAGAAAATTGGCACTGGTTGAATACAACACCAGAAGGACCACTATACCCTTCTTTAGAAAGGGATGCACAATCTTTTATATCCACATAAGAGGTTTGACAGAACCTTAATATGACATATTTTCCAAAAGGTAGCCCTTTGACAGTACAGCATTCCAGAAGCAGACCAGATAATGTATTTAGATCTCAGGAGACACGTTTGTATCTTCAGAGCCAAGAACAGAAATTGCTGGAAAAGCTCAGCAGGTCTGGCAGCATCAGTGGAGCAAAATCAGAATTAATGATCTCGGGTCAAGTGACCCTTTCAATGAACGGAACCTTCAATCTTCAACCTTCTGATTCAGGGATAATTGTGCTACCACTGAACTAAGGCTAACACACTCAAAACAAAAACTGTTCTGCGTATATACACTGAAACACTGAAAAAAATTCAGTTTGGTCATGAGAGCTTCTGTTATCTTCTCCACACCAATTCTCGAGAGCCCTCTACCACTGCATGAGATAATTTGCGCTTCCTCGTTCTACTTGCTAAAAACAATTTTACAAAGCACAGCCAGCCTGGTTAACCTTATTGCGAAAGCTACGTATGTTGCGATGTGCAGGTGCTGGTGTTGGACTGAGTTGGACAAAGTCAGAAGTCACGCAACACCAGGTCATAGTGCAACAAGTTTATTTGAAATCACAAGCCTTCGGAGCGCTGCTCCTTTGTTAGGTGAAGTTTCTTCTTTGACTATAACCTGTTGTAGTGTGACTTCTGACTACTGTATAAAAACCTGAAAGAACTGCGGATGCTATAAATCAGAAACAATATACAGAAGTTGCTAGAAAAGCTAAACGTGTCTGGCAACATCTGGGAAGAGAAATCAGAGTTAAAATTTCAGGTCTGGTAATACTTCCTCAGAAGGATTTCTGACTATTATATGCTGAAAAGCAAACACACAGTAAAAGTACATGCTGTGATTCTGATCCTATGAGTGGTTGAAAGCATTAAAACTACCTTTTATACTGGTTTGTGGATTTCTTTGATTTCTCTTCATGATTTAAGTTTTTCATTTTCAAAATGAAGTGATTTTAAAATGATCATGGAAAGTTGCAAAATATGATCAAGTATGTTAAAATTGAAACTTTGACAACTCATTTTCACCCAATTTGAGAATATTATTACTTGTCAAATAATTCTGTTTGACCACAAAGGAGCAATTACATCAGCCAGATTAGAACATGCTCAGTGGAAATTGATGCTCATTTATTGTATTTGTAAATGTTACTTCTTTGTAAAAGGAGGAGAAAAGGAATTCTCACTGTACATTCAAACTTTGATCAAGCTTCCCTCTAATGATTACAAAAAGCCAAGAGTGCTGACCATACCCATACTTGCAGTTATGTGACAGGACACAATGTGATATTATCAGTGAGTTCCACAAAAAAACCCGAAGGTATGAAACCTTAGATCAAATGTTATTCTTGATAGTAAGTCTACATTTTTTTTTGTCTACAATGTTTAGGACTGGATTGATTATATTATGCTGACTTTTTAAAACAAAAGCTATGTCTGTATTGAAAGATAAATGCAGAATAGCTTCCAAATCCTGCACTAATTTGAATGATGGTCATTCGTGCCATTTTTGGATTTCTAGGTCAGCAGCTGGAGTCTATTGCCCTGAAATTCCTGACAATAAAACCCCATTAGAGCGATTAAAATGTATTGTATTTTTTCTAACAAACGTTAATGAGAGTAAAAGGCAAGACAATACCAAAGCAGCACAAACACAGAGTGTTCTGACATCTGAAATTGACAGGCTACTATTAATTCAATATTATTACAACTCGCTACACTAGGCCAGCATTAGCAGTAGAGATTGTTAGTGGGTACATAACACAAAAACGATAGTGCTTGCAGATAACAAAAGTCCTGAGGTAGGAACAATTTTCTTCGGCACAGATTCACTCCTTGCTGATCTATGGGACAACGTAGCCCATGGTAAGGTGAAAGGGTGGAAAATGGAGGTATGGTGGAGGTGATGGATTTTAAAATGGCAGCGATGCAACTGCTACAATATCAAATTAGCCAAGTCAGCCTGCAAGCCTCCACCCTCTCACTCCCCAGTAATAACTAAATATAACAATCATTGAAAACAGGATGAACATCAAAACCACTTTAAAATGTTAATATTACATTTGAAAAGGTACACTGGAATGGCTCAGGTGCTGTAAATTCTGTAAGCAAAAAGGTTCTGTTGTTAAGGTACAGAGTTGAAAATGTTTGGTTTTCATGTACAGCTGATTTTGGCAATGTCTGTGTTAAAGCTGTGCCCCAATATTGACAAGATTCAGATTTGCATGAGTGATTCTTCTAGTTCCTTCACATAGCCAAAATGAACATGATGGGCTGAATGGTTTCTGGCATCTGTGCTATAAAGGAATATTATTCAAATTTGGCAATGTAAATACATGAGATTAGGATAGCTGTGAGAAGGCATTAAAAATGAAAACATGCCCAGTAAACTAAAAAGTGAGAATCATGCACTTTACTATCGTGTACCTCTAAGTCACTGCTAAGAGGATCAGAAGCACTGTATGTGTGTGTAATATTACGACCAAACATTTACTTGAGATGCTTAGACATTTGCATAGGACTAAAATAATGACTTGTGATAACTTATAGCATTTATGTTATGTCATTGTTCTTCCCTAATTTTTGCCTTTATATATACTACTACTTGTAAACTAATTAGCTTCTGGATGTTTCATGCATTTCTTCATTATTTTGGCCCTTTGATTATAAAGGGAAGTGTTTTCTTCAAAATAAAAAAAAGGTAATTTTATTTTCTTTTCTATTCGTGCATAGGATCTTACTGGCTATCTGAGTAAAATAGGAGTTACTTGAGAGTCAACCACATTGCTGCAGATCTAGAGTTACTAGGGCAGACTGGGTATGGGCAGTAGGTTTCCTTCCCCAAGTAGTCTGAATGAACCAGATGGGTTTTTAAGACAATCAACATGGTCTTTTGGATTTTGGAAATTGTCAGTTTTCAGGGAAGAAAACAAAAATCAGAATATCATAATTCAAGCCTGAAATGCTAACTGTACTGAATATGAGCTGCAGGAAAGCCAACTGATATGATATTTTGGGTTAATGGACTGCTGTTGATATGAATTCACTTGTCCTGCGTTGGATTTAATATCTCTTTCATGCCTACCCCACTTATCTACATCAACACAGCCTGCTTCAAAGATATTTTAAAAAATGTCCCAATTTCCAATATTTTAAATAAAAGTGTGCAATGCTAGCTTATTGTATAAGGCTATAAGGGTTTGAAAGGTTAATATGAGAAAGTGCCCATGCACCATCCATGACAACAATATCAAATGGACCTAAGGGGAGAAAAAAAAAGGACCTCAGAGGAGAGGAATTTAACATCCAGTTCCTATGACAACCTCTATTTTATCTATATAACCTGTAATTAGTTGCTAACATGCAATAAACTACTATTTGTTTAATACACGAGCCTCTTCTAGTTTGACCAGCAACTGTGTTTTTTCTATCACACTGAACCACGCAGGTAGTGATGATCCCTACACTTCAAGCAAATTCTCACTGCAAAACTACCCCATTGTGAGGTGAAGATTCTGTTTAACTGCGCATAACCTTATTCCAAAAGCACTAAGTAAAAATGAAAAAAATGAAGCTCTTAGATACTTGATCTTGAGAACACTCAAATTAATCTGTTTGAAAAGCACCATCTGACAGTCAACTCAGAAACATCCTTACCTCTCTATTCCTAGCATTTATACAACGACACTTGTATCAGCACAAGAGATTTAAACTGTTCAGTCTGCAATCTAAT